CTGAGATGGCTCACAATAACCGAGTACAAAACATAACACTCAAAAACAGGACACCCAAGTAAAATGTCCCTGTGATATAAATGTGAGTCCCACAATTGCTTTTGGATTTTTGCACTGATCTTTAAAGGGACAGAATAATTTTTCCACACCAAAGTGAATAATGAATGGGAATCATACACTTGACCTTGACTCTATCACCTGTGGTTCTCCCATCACTTGCTGCAGGAGTGCTGGAGGGAGGAAGCAAGGGAGAAACTCGAGGGATTTTTTTAATCCTGTATTACTTATCTGCGTGTACAGAGAGACCCAGCAGACTTCCAGTGTATTAACCAATTTGTTCTCAGACAGGAACAAAAAGCTAGACAGTGACACTCTGGTTTTGGAAGCTTCTTCCAGACACTATCTCAGCTGTGCTGTAGTTCTTGTGTTGTCACAGCTAAGTGTGGCATCACTCCCACTGGAGCAGTGTTCAGAGGATGAACCTGAGACCTTTTATTGAAATACATGTATCAAGCCATTCCCTTAAAGCGAGATTGTGAAATTTTGACTCCTAAGAGGAATTGTCCTGGGTTGCGAAGTACCCAAGAATGTTAGCAGGAGAGGAGGTGGGATGAACACTTACTTCTGCCATGTATCAGAGTTGATCATTCGTCTCTGTTCGTCTGGATTCCCCGTACCCAGAAGCAGGCAGCGACCAGCACTGTGTTTTTTGTGCTAAAAGTGCAGACTCGGTGAAGACAGAGAGCCCGCAGTCGGAATGTTAAGTTGGGCTTTGCAGAGCGAGCGAGGGGAAACCAGCGCTGCAGATACCATCTTGTGGCAGTGAGAGGCACAGACCAGCAGAGCCAGCAGATGCAGACTGTGTGAAGCAGTCCTACCGCACAGCTGCTCATACACTCCTCCCTTTCCAAGAAAAGGATGCCACCGAGGAGCAGGTGCCGATCCTGAGCCCCGATCCGTGTCTGCCCGCCGTGTCCTCGGCCGGGAGCTGCGGGGAGGGGACCCTCAGGGCGAGTCCCGGGCTGACACTGCACTCACCCCACCCAGCGGCCCCGCACATCCCTGGCACAAAACACCTTCCCCAGGAGATCGGAGTGCGGATCTGCGCCTTACCCTGGGACCTCTCCCAGACGGATCCCTGGCCACTTCCCACCCGCCTTTCCACCCCATCAGGGAGCTTTGCCCTCTGCCACCAGCGCCTGATGCCCAGCTTGGCTTCCCGAGCTCCCGGCTGCTCCCGAGGCCCAGAGGCCCTGGCGGGCAGGAGATCCCAGCTGGGATCTGCGGCCTGCAGGAGGACCCGCTCAGCTCCCAGTAAATCGCAGAGCTTGTTGCAAGAGGCGATCCAGCTCCTGCTGGGAAGTTGTTCCTTTCCCTCATTTATAGCAATGCCAGGAGCAGAGAGTTCAAATTATATGAGACCACTGTAAAAGTAACTGCTTCCTCTCTGCAAATACATAACCACGACATTTAAGGGGGCTGAGGGGAAGTTCCTGGAGAAGCAGGAAAAGCTGGGCACTGCAGCACAGCCGCCTCAACCTCCCTGTACAGGCAGAACCCACCGTGCCGTGATCGGGATCAAACTGTTCTCATCTCTCCAATCTTCCTCAATTATCATCTCGGCTATTCCAGAGAAACCATTGCTGCCTTGTCTGGCACGCAATACCTGTGTGCCAGAGTTAATTTCATGAGCCCTGTAGACAAGAGACATCAATTCCAAGATGGACCAAAAGAAATCACCCCCAAAAGTGAATTTTCTTGGACTTAGTGGTGAGTGTGCAGCATTCCTTATGTCATCAGCACTTGCAAATAAAGCATGCAGAGAGCCCAAGTGCATGCAAAAAATCCAGTGTGCTTTTGGTCTAGATAAATTAAACCTAAATGTCTAACTAAAATTGCATGTGGGATTGTCAGAAAAGTATATAACCAGCTTCTAATGAAATCACCAGATTGAAAATTCTGAGGTGCAAGAATATTTGAAAAAGAAAATAGAGAAGGTGAAGATGCTTCATTCCTGTAATTTATTTTTGTTGAAAAAAAAAAAAAAAGAAAGAAAGGATGAGACAATTGCTGAGTATATCAGTATCTTCAGAGCAATTTTTGCCCACATGTATTTTGTTTTCTTTTAACTTTCTAGGTCGTCTTTCCACATTTTTGTCAGCAAAAAATCCCAGTCTCTCTCTGTTTCAATGGTCTTCATTGAGTCAGACAAAATGGTCAACAAAATGCATGTTAAGCATTTTGAGTGGCACCTGTTACAAGATCAAGCTGGAGATTTAATGGATCTTTATTTTTGATTAATGTTCTTTTCCCTTTTGCAGATTAGTCCTTAACTACTTAATATTCAGTGATTGCTGCCAGCACTGGAGAGACACATCTTATTTAAGAAATGAGACAAGTTTAGTTATGTGAATGAGGAATGCCTAGGAATATCAATCATTGGTCTGAGTAAGAAATTGCACAGCCATACAGGAGCTACAGTTATCCAGTGTTCTTCAAAATGAGATGGAGATGCAGGTGGAAAGCTTTCAGGAGGAGAAGAATATTCCATGGAACTACAGGGGTCATGACAAGGAGTGGTGAAATTGTTCTTCTGGAATGTACCCAACTGTATTCCCACTTCCCAAATTAGCTTTACAGCCACTATAATCTCTTATATCTACATATAAAAGTGACAGATTTTTCGGTCAAGAAACAATTGTTACTTTCGGTTTCCTACATAAGAGGGGCTGTACATAACTTTTCACACTGTTATTCTGCACAAAACCTATGAATTGAGCCAAGACTTTTTTAAAAAAAAGCAATTTAAAGGATCATAATTGAGACAGTTAACATTACTTCTGTGATTTTTATCATTTAATCTGTATTAATTAATTTAACTTCATAATGTAAAAAAATTCTATCATTATTTGATGTCTGCAACACACTCAGAATACCAGTGTCATGTTTCTGTGATAAAATGGATTTTTTTACAGAAACATACTGGTATTAACTTTCATTGCCTGTATCCTATATTAATGATACCAATTCCAGGCATCGATTTCTGGTATTGACATGATAGCCACTTCTGCTTCTGTTCCTTCTTCCTTATTCCTAAATCTATTCAAAATGTGCATTATTATATTTCTTGGTCCCTTTTAACAAGCAAAACTCTGCTCCACTCCAGTGACAAAATATTTAATGCCAAATGGTGGTCTTTATACATATAGGATTTTGTTCCTGCTGGAACCAGAAGTCATTAAGTTGCCTGTAGCATGTAAGTACCACTGATATATATTTGCTATTTCTTCCTTTTCTGCATGTCTGAAGGGTAAATAAACACCTTTCCAGCAAAGTAGCCTTAATATTTTGGGTTTTTTTCTTTTCCATTGTTTATACAGAATTAAAAAGTAAAGTTATAAAACGTAAGTAAGTGAGAAAGTTCTTCTTACTGACTGTGATCCTGTTGACAGTGGAGCTTCATTGATAACCAATAGTTTACTTTATTGATTGCCAGACAATTAAATCAGAAGAATGGTCCTGATCAGCTGATGTGAAAACAATAAGGTTCATCCTTATCAAGTACATTTTGTAGCCATTTTGCTAGCCAAGAATAAGAGTGTAGAAACAAGCTACTGCAAAGTAAACTGGAGTGCAAACTTGCAGAAAATCAACCCTCTGCAGTAAGTCTGCCTGTTCTCCCTCTTGGAATATCCTTGGAATATCTTTATTGGCTTGTGTTTGTTACTGGTTAACAGCACACAGCAGCTCTGGTGCTTCTGAGCAGCAGGATAAATGTTTCAGGTAGCCACTCCCTTGGGCTTCCAAGATGTTTTATTGCAGGCACTCCACTACTTTGGGAAGCCACCTGAAGCAAAAGACAACACAGATGCCAACCCAAGGGTGCTGCTCAGGGAGGGACAGAAGTGGGGAATAGGCTTCCAGTAAGCAGGAATGGCTTGTCATGGGGATTAAAGAAGGGATGTGGTAGCAAGACACAAGGGAGGAAGTTCAACAAAGGAGGAATTTGGCACTTAGAAATCTGACTGTTGAGAGCAAGGCTCTTGGAGAGATGAAAAGGTCCCACTGTCTTCCTGTGAAGGCAGAAATGGCAAAGAAAGCTCCAGCAATGGGAGCTTGCACTTGGGAAACAAGTTGCTGAAGTGTGGAAGAAAAATTGTCCTTTATTCTTTCTGGCAGCAACTGTGGATATTTTAGGATTAACCTCTGTTAAACTTGTGGCAAGATGTCCCAGTTTTCTGGTATGTGTTTTAATACCCCAGCTCTTTGACGTGTGAAGTGTCTCCCCCTATTAAACAGCGGCTTTGCTGCTGTTGTTCTCCATTTCCTGCTCTAATTCCCCGTGCCTGGATTGCCCTTCCCATTCCTGCTCCAGTGACAGAGCAGCTGTGGCTGCACCCATTGCTTGGCACTCACTGAACGTTAGGATGAAATATCATTAGCCTAGAAAAACTATGGGTGTTACTGTGTTAAACACATTCCTGCTTTTCGAAGGGTGTGCAGAGAGCAGAATAAAAAAATAAGAGTGTGCATGCAGGGGAGGGAAGAGGAGCAGTGTCCATGGAAGGGGATGGAGCAGAAGAAAGCAGAGATCTACGTGCAGTATCCCAGCTGCAGGGAGAGGTGAGGCTGATGCTCTGCCAGGGCCCAAAGCAGCTGCACCCAAAATGGTTGTGGCCCTTCCTTCTCTTCCCAAACTTCCAGAAGTTGCCCTGTGTTCCTTCAAGGTGTTTGATGATGTCTCCATGGCAGAAAAGGTGAATCATCACACCTCTGAAGGGAGGGAGGGATTAAGTAATCTCCTCACAATCAGATTGGAAACCAAAGCCCATACCCTTGGGGAGGGTCTGTGTCCCCAGAATATGACTGACAGTTCTGGTGTCTGCTATTCTGCTTCAGATCTTTCATAGTTAACCAAAGGTGTTACTAAAGCACAAAGTATTTTTTGCACTGGGACTATCTAACATCTAGGGCACTGAATAATTCAACTCAGCACAGACTTCAAGCTGTCAGCATACCTGGAAATGTGATTTATTTACATTAGTAGTGAGTCAGGTAAAATGTTTCTGTTCACACTATCCAAAACAGAACAGAGAAATGCCCCTCTTTTAGAATTGCTTTCAGCAAGTGTGATGTATGTTTAAGAAACAAAAGCTGGATCACACCTGATTGCTCAGACAAGATCTGTATTTTTGCCCAGAAGTCACATTACACATTCTGCAGAAGATAATGTGGCCATCAAAGAAGCACAGGGGCAGCACATCTGTACCTATCATCTAAAGTTAGCCTTTGTTCCCAGCTGAAGTGTGGTAACAGCAGGATTTTTTTCAGCATTCTTTATTTTTTCTCATTGTTCACAAATACATTGACTCTGCAGTGGTCACCCTCGGTGACCAAGGCCGTCCTGCAATATTTTTCTCCCTTTAATTTTCTTGGAGCTGTTCTCCTGGACACCCACCAGATTTATTGCAAAATGAGGATGTAGAAAGAAGTATTTACCTGACCGAATCTGTCCCTTTTTTTCCTCCACACACTGTCCTAACTATAACTGTATTGCACTTCTATTGTACTTTTGATCTCACGATGCTTACAGTGCTCAAAGCTTGACTGTCAGGTGAACATGAAATTCACAACACCCTTGGAAAAGTGAACAAGATCTGTTACAGCTTTTGCCATCAGGTGGCTTTTGCCTGCTGCCTGTTTGGTGAGGTTGGCAAACACTGAGTGAACAGGGCATAGCTGAGTGGTGCACGTTTGTAAAGTGTAATCATACTTCTAGGACAAGTTCTGTTTTACAGAAGCATTGGAGGTGGTGGGGAGTGAAAGAAGGGCTGAAGTGTTCACACCGTGGATTGTGTGGAGTCTTACTAAAATAAGTCTTTGTGCTGCAGAGATGTAGAAGTGGGTGTGGACCGTGCAGTACAGTTACCCTCATCAGCCTGCACTCAAAAAACAAATGAACATTTCGCTTTTATTTATTATGAAGTTGAGGGTGATGGGTTTCAGTGGACTTTTACACAAAGTATTCATTTAAATGCTTTCTAGTTTTCTGATGCTGCTGCTTCTCCCCCAGCTCTCCTCTGGCTCAAGGCCCTACTTGTTTAGTTGGGTTTCAGCTCCTCTTCAGGCTTAGGCAGTGCTGCTTTGCAAGCACACCCTTCTCTGGGGGATCACAGAGGCAATCCACTCACCAGTGCCCTTCTTGGCCTCTTCCCACGTGTAGCGGGGCACATAGCCAAAATCCTGCTGTGCTTTCCTGTAAGAAAAGGTGAACGGGGTGTTGAGCAGCGTGACCAGGTGCCGGTTGGTGGAGGGGATGTATCTGACAAAGGGCCGGAGCAAGAAGCTCACGATCTCCAGCAGCAGCGAGAAGTAATAGAGCAGTGTCAGAGGCATGGGCAGCTGGGGCTCAATTCCAAACCCCAGGTCCTTGGTCAGCTCGTAATTCAGATCAGCGTAGCTCATGTGAGGGGTGTCATCTGAGATGTAGTAGAACTTGCCCCTGACGTGCTTGGCTTTCTGCGGGGCTCGGAGGGCTTTGGCTGCCTGCACGTGTGCCCAGGCGATGTTCCCCACGTACACGGGGTTCACCAGAGCCTCCTTCCTGGAGAAGCGCAGGTAGACGTTCTTGTTCAACAGGCACTTATCCAGATGGCCCTGGAGAAACGGGCAGCCTTCCCCAAAGATGTACATGGACCTCAGGGCACAGGTCATCAGCGTGCCACCATCCTTCAGCACCTGGCCGTCTGCTTTCAGCACGGAATCCTCTGCCAGTCTCTTGCTTTGGGCATAAGGAAATTTGGGTGTGCTCTCATAAGCTGTATCTTCATCACCATTGAAAATGGGGTCACCTTTGCAGTTTGGGCCCGTCACTTCGATGGTGCTGGTGTATATGAAGTGCTGGACGTTACAGCGGACACACGCCTCCAGCAGCAGCTGAGTACCTTCAGAAAACAAATATGAAAGGCAGTCTAGGACCCCCTAACCAGGAAAAAGTGGGGATTTCAGATCAGAAACAGCATCTCTGGCCTGAGCTTAGCCAGATCTCCCTCCCTGCAGTTGGAAGAATCCTGTCCTGAGCAGGGCAGTATATTCAATGACACAGAACCTGCTCTGAATCTGTCTTTAAGTAGTATCAGTGCACCTTTCAGAGTTAAACAAGGGTGAATATTTGGTCCTAATTGCATGTTGTGGCGGTGTTTTTATGCCAGGAATCAAATTTTTGCCCCTCCTTAACTCAGCATGGGTACTGACCACGGATTCAGGGACTTGTGTCTCTTGGTTGGATTGAGTTGGCTTTAGGCAGAGGACCATCAGAAGCTGCCCCTCTCCTTAGGTGTCATCCATGCTCTGTGGTGAAGCCCATGTTTTTCAGGCTTGAGGTTGCTCTCAGATGGTTTGCTAAGAAGGGACAGAATTAGTATGGGACCTGAAGGTTTGCTCCAAAATCAGTGCACTCACACCCAGTGCAAATCTATCCAGTGTTCTACTGACTAAAGAGAAGGGCTTGAAAAGAAACATGGTGAAGCAAGGCATGATAACATGTAGTCAAAGATCATAAAGTGCAATAAGAAAAGAGAGCCTTGTGTGTGTATGCCTCCTTTTCTGGCTTATTCTGGCTTTTCCTTGCAGAAGTACAGGATTTCTTACATTTAAAATCCTTTAATGCTTTCATTGGGGGCAGCAGAGGTCAGCTGTTCAAAGTCTTTTAAATAGCCAAGGAGGTTAAATGAGGAAAGCACACTGAAGGGGGAAATAAATACTTTAATAAGTTGTGTTGTTATAGTTGCAATTAGAATCTTATTTTTCTACCCAGCTTTGAGGCAGAAATTGCCTTATTTGTTGTGCATGGTGTAGTGAGAGAAATTAAATGTAAAAAGGCCAGTGACTTTGGAAGAGAAGACACAGCTGAAAAACATTTGTAAACATCTTTGGCAAAGGAACATTAAACTAAAATGACTGACGTGATATCAGAAGAGTGTAGCCTAAAATCCAGGGGATAAAATCAAACACCAGCAGTGAGGCACATAGAAATGTTCCAAGTCTGCTCAGTCTGTTACAGCAACAGCTGAAGGCAGCACAGTGCAGACCAGGTTAGTGTGACTGAAACAAATATAATGAATTAAGGAGGTTCAGAAGAGCCAGGAATATTGGCAGCAAAATACGGACTCATTAATTAGTGAAAAATAGGAAGAATATTGTTAGGGCACCAAAATTCCTCTTTTCAAACTTGGACAAGTAAAAGAAAGAAATTGAAACAAATGGAAAACAAATCTGGATGAGGCTTTCAGAAACATTAAGAAGTGCACTGAAAAAACATTATACAGACAGGAATAAATTAATGTGAAAAATGAGTTCATGCAAGTCACCCTGTTTAGATGACATACAAGCCAGGGTCATCTGGAAAAAAATAATTTATTATATTATTTTAAAAATAATAGCTTAATTCCTGTGTCAATTCTGTTTAGAAAATGAGGGAAAGTAATCAAATGCAGAAGGTCTTGATGAAGTCAAATGAGATAGCAAGTCTTAGAAAAAAGCAAACATAAAATTATCTTGACAGTTGGTATCTGTTCAAGATGAATTTCACCCAAATAAAATGTGGTTTATTTGCAAATCAGAATTTAATGTAAAAGTTTAAAGATTCCTACAGTAATGGAAACCTGAGTATCTTTATCTATAATAAAGTGAATTAGTACTGTATTAGATGCTTTATTCAGCGAGTGGGTCCCCATGGTTTGCTTGCCCTTCTGGCTGAGGTTCACAGAAGGTATTTTGTTCAGATTATAAATAATTATTTTCTCAATTCCATTCCTTTTAAAAGTTTGCGTCCCTTCCTTCCTTCCTAAAAAGATATTTTTGCTCTGAGATATTGTGTGGCAATGGAAGAAAGCCCTGCATCAAGGCAAGTTTAACTTGTTCACTTCAGTCCTGGTTTGTGAGCATCCACATCTGATCCTCGAAACATTTATGTTGCACAAGTTCTATTTTCTGGGAGAAACAAGACTTTCACCCTGCAAGCCTGTGAAGCACATAGCGGTGCCCTGGCTGGTCAGAAAAACAGAAGAGCATCAGAATGGAATGTAAGGAAACAAGGAAGAGAGGACAGCAGCAATCACTGACTGACCTTGTGGCCAGCTGGCTCTGGGAGCAGGACTGTGGAGGGTTTTTCATTCTAGCAGATGTAATCAGCTAATCCTCACTGCCCAGTGGGCTTTTTTCACCTATAGGCAAACAGTTAGCAAGAGGGTGAGTACTGGGGAGTCAGAGCTAAAGAGCTTTCTGGGTTTGGGACATTTTAATAGTAGTTTGATTTTCACTTTTTTTTAATATACTTTTTTTTTTTTTAATTGCTCTTTTTCATTTTTCTTTATGGAAAAAATGTGTTTAAGCAGCACATTCTGCTGTGAAAAACCAGATTGTAGCAGAAGTACGGTCATAAGGCCAGAGCTTTACAAATCCTCTTTCTGAACTACCAACCATGTATATTTTCATATTACCCAATGCACAGGTTTCCAGGAACTTGCCTTTCTGCTCTTCCCTCCTGACAGGAGCCTAAGAGGCTGCCCACTGGGCTCTGTGTTTTGATCACTGACAATTTGTGGCTTTGATTGAGCAGAAATGAAAGGGTCTGGAAGTTAATGGCACAGGCAATGAGCCACACTAAAACACCTAAAATGTGATCCCACTGTTTTTAAGGTGCATGTGAGAAACAACTCAACTGCCAAGAATTCTCTCTTCCTCTGAACGCTGGTGAGCAGCCAATATTTGTGGAAGTGATGCCTGTACAGGTATGTTCCTTATTTTTCTGTGAAGAAGCCCTGTGTCTGAGGCAGAGAGGAACAAAGAACTGGGAAAGCTGTTCATGTAAGTAAGAACATCTTCCCCAAATCTCCCCCAAGCTGTTGAAGCAGCACAGTCAGGGAGGCCAGTGTGCATGCAGGTTAGGCAGTACCAGTTCCCTGAATGGCACTGAGGATTTTGGCATCACAGACAGGGGTTGTTATTCCTTTTAGGAAATACATTTAAATCCCTGGTATATGATGCTACATGGGCTATTCCTAAATCTACACCTTCTTCCTTCATATGATCTCTCCTGAAGCATGGGGGTTCCTTATTGAAAGGGGAAATCCCACCACTGAGTCACTGAAACCCCTTTCTCCCATAGCTCTGAGTTTGTTGGGGAATTTTAAATTATAAACTCAAGGTGGGAGAGCACTCGTTCCTCTCACCTGCCTTCTTGCATACACAGACTTAATGGCAAAGGAAGGAAAAGGAGAAAAAGAAGAAGAAAAAGAATAGCAAGGAGAGAGCCACAGACTGTGGGATGTTATCAATACAACATTTCTGTAACTGCAGCCAAAGTCTGCAGTTTTTGTAAAATTTGAAAAAAATGTACACAGGCAGGGATGCCATGTGGGGTGGGAGAATAAGAACCAATTTCTGAGGTGAGCATTGGGATTTCAGAGGGGAATTGCTTCAGAAAGTTCCACTGAGCATGGGTTATGACTATCACCACTGGAGGCAGAGCCTGTGCAGAGCTCAGCATGGGCATACATAAGTGTGGACAAGAATGAGGGGTCCTGCACTGCCCTGAAGTGGAGGACTGGGTGTGGAGAGGCCCAGAACTTCTTGGGGCTGCACAGACACGGGATTGCACCCCTGGGTATGTCTGTGCAGAACAACCCAGATAACCTGTCTCAAAATAAACACAGGTCAGGTACTCCCTTTCTGAGCAGCCAGAGATCAGGACATAGATGTGGGTTTGAGAAAGGTGCTTCACCTGCTCACCTGTTACATTGACTTCCCAGAGCAGCTTCTTCTCGATGAGGCCCAGGGTGTCGATGAGGGAAGCCGTGTGGATGACGAGGGAGACCCCCTGGCAGGCACGGTGCAGGAATGTCACATCTCGGATGTCCCCTTCCAGGATCTTCACCTCAGTCTTACCCTTGAACTCTGCAGGGGCAGCAGAAAACAGAGCACAAGACCTTACAGACACCCTGAGAAGAGTGCTGGAAGGAGTGGTGAAGGGCTGATTCTGCCTGGCAGGTGCTGACTGTCCAGGAGCAGCAGGAATACTTTAAGGCTGTGAAACAGGAGGCATTTCCCCAGGACTCTGTTGTCAAATGATAACTGCAGTGCTATAGAGGTTCATTTTGCATTACCTACCACAGATCTGGAGCCAATATTCAACATGTTTCTTTCTATTTTATTTTTTGAAATCTTTTCCACTGCTAGCAAGCTTCCTTGAGTTGTGACTGTGTTAAAGTTCACAGAGGAGTAGATTTAGCTGTTCTGGTGACTGGCTGGCTATAGTTATGTCAACCCAAGCACTGAATGTTCCTGTCTTCAAGCTGATGAATGATCTCTCTCCACCCAGAGCATGTGAGCACAGAGTTGTGTTCATACCTACTTTCTGCCCCTCTACCTTGCCTGTACTGCAGCTCTTCCAATAAGTTACATACCATTCTGACATCTTTTCCTTGTACCTTGGCCAGGACTTACAGTGCCTCTTCCAGCTCCAGCTCTGGATCCATTTCAGTGTCTGTGCTGTGAGGTCATTTTTAGCCTGCACTTCTTTCCAGTTCATATCTGAACTCTCGAGGCTCCTGAGCTACCTCAGCCCAGCTTGATTAAATCCTACTTTTTAAGCCCTCTCCCTCCACAGAAGCTGCAGTGTGTGACCCCAGAGGAGCTCCAGGTCTCAGAGCCATCCTTCCCTAAGCTGTGCTGGGCAGAAGGATTCTTTCTGCAGCCCAGAGCTACACAAACGTGAGCCAGCACCCGACAATCACTTGGAAAAACCTCCAGTCCAAGGCAGTGCTGCTCTCCAGGGAAATCAGCTGGCCTGGCTGCAGCAATGCCACGGGAGAGCAGGGGACTTTCTCAGCATGACCCACATCTTGTAAGGAGGTGGTGCCATTGCAGCCAGTGCTCTGGGAGCCTCTGCTCTGGCTGCACTAGATGGCTCCCCAGGCACAGCTGCTGGGCAGGGACCCTGCAGCACAGGCACAGCCTCTGTCTTCTTCCAGCATAATCAAATGCACCTTCTAAGAAAAGAGAAGAACCTGATTAATTTGTCCAGCTTTTAGCTTCAGCCATGACAGAAATCTCGTGTATCCTAGTGCTTTGTCACCAGCTCCAAAGCAGGCAGCATTTTATCCCACGTCTTTAGTATGAAACACAGAGAGAGACAGCTGATAGATCTGGAACTGAGTGGGAATGTGTTTTAAAAATGGTTTTATCTCATTTTCTCTATAGCACGCTAAGAATGATACCCTGTATCAACTTAACAATTATTCTGATGCAACAGGCTTAAGGAGTGCTTTTCCCTCCACCACAAACAGTTGGTCTGAGATTTAAGATTTGCGAAACATCTGCAAAACTCTTACTAAATCTAGAGTTGCTGCCCTCCCAGCACAGTCACTGCCACATGCTCGCTTCTGCTCCTGTATTTTACAGACTGCATTCATTTCCTAGCTGTCTCCAGAAGCTTCACTCTGACCTCTGCTTCCATGGATGCAGAAGTGTCAGGCTAGGGCTGGGCTTTTTGTTAAGCACCTGGTAGTTAGATCTGCTCTAATAAATATTAGTCTTTGTACCGCCCTTAGGTTGATGCTCTCCATGAATAAGGCTTTGTGGTGTTGTAATAATCTCAAGAACAGACAGAAATAGTTTTCACAACATAAATTCTGACATGTGACCCCTTCAAAGTTATCACAGTGCCCAGGAAGGGGTTATGAAAATGGAGGTTTTACACCTGCAAATCAAAGCTTTCAGAAAAAGTACAGAAGAAACCTGTCCCTTTTAAAGCTGATCACAAGAAATCTGCTGTCCAGCTGCTTTGTGCCTTGTTTGGGCTTGCAGTTTGTGTGAGTGTGATATGAGTCAGGAAATCTGCTCCTCTATTCCCTTTTAGCCAGCAGAAGTTGCCATGGTAAGTACAATATGGGCCTTGCTCACTTTTGCAACATCAGCTGCATGTTGGGAATCAGTAGATTGATCTTGTTTTGCTCTGGGTGAAAAGAAAACTACAGGAGAGCTTGGAAGAAAAGAGGAAAGAAATGACTGACAGACAGTGGTTTCAGTCTGAGACAGCCAGCAAAGAGAAACTTGATTTTCATCTACACAAACCATTGCCCAGGCACCAAAAGAACACATGTGGGTAGGTCGGAGGGGGAGGAGCAGAATAAACTGAAGTCAGCTCTCCATTTTTGCATAAAGTGATTATGACAAAGTACCTACTCACTGGGGAAACTTGTTCTTCTTCACCTGTGGTTTCCATGTCTTCTGAGTTGTAAGTGAGCTCCCTGCTTGCTATGGGGTAGTTTTTGCTTGAAAATGCAATGATTTCACAATAAAATTCAGTGTTCCCTTGTGAGCAGTTTTTGACCCAGCAGAAGAGTTGGACTATTTGCCCTAAACTTGAGAAAAACATAGGAGTTTTGATGTTTCCAGAAGTGCAATAGTGATCAACAAAAAAAAGAGTTGTGTAAGTGGAAGCACAGGAAAGGAAGACAAATCTGGCATGGAGACAGGAGGTAAGAAGCCCAGGGCACCAAAGCACCATGTGCAGAGTGACGTCCATTCTCAGCCACACAACGTAACGGGGCAGTCTCCAACTCACAGCACTCGACACTGACTGGATCATCCCAGACTCCCTGGGGCTGTGGAAGACCACAAATGCCACTGTCCTGCACAGACTGAGTGTGATGGTCAAGCTCTCAGCAGGAAAGTTGTTTGGACAAAAGAGGAGTGCCCCTGAGTGCCTTCTGGCACAAAGGCCTGTGACTTGCATGTGCTTTTCTGTCTTACTGCCCACAGCCCTGACTCTGCAAAGATATTGCAAGTGCAAGGTGCTCAAGACATTTGTGAGGAAAAAACCCACTCAGCTTTGCTCCTGGCTGTTCCAAAAATCCAGATAACATCTGCCAGCAAGTCCCTGTAGTGAAAATAATGCAGGTCAGAAGACTCCAGCCTCACACAGAGGTTTTGTAGCAGCCTCACACTTGGAATAGGAGTCACTGTGATGGAGAAAGGCTTGAAAGGGAATGGCAGGGAAATAGTTTGGGTAGTCCTGAGCACAGGGACTAGGAGAACACTAGAAGATATATAGTCACAAGGGCTGATACAGACAGAGGAGCTGCCAGTCAAAGTGCAGGGGTTCAAATCTGTTTAAATACATCTGGAATCTCAGCCTATGGTCCCTACTGCCTGTTTATGGGGAACAAAAGGCTTTGGGAACAGATTTTTCCCTACCTCCTGTGCTGCTCAGGTAGGCAGAAGGAATGTTAAAAGAATAGGAAAGGAGGTGTGTGGGCAGTGCTCCGTGGAGGAAGAAGGGAGGATATGGAAAGAGGGCATAGAGCTTGCCTATTAACAAAAAAATAAAACATCAGAACGTTTTCTGCAGCTCAGCCAAGACTGTGCCCACACAAACAATTGTTTTCACTCCCCAGGATGCTCCATTACCCCCACAATGCTCTCCTGGCCCAAAGCAGTGTAGATGCCTCTGCACTGCTGCATCAGTGCTAAACCAGACACACTCCTGCTGCTTCAGCCTCTACTGTAGCTGCAGGTTTTGGGGTTGCTTCTATGGGAACTCTCTGGAAACCAGAGCAGGAGGGGCTGCTGCAAGGCTCAGGGGCATTTAGAAATCCTCAGTGAAATGCTGAGTCAGATTGAATGGAGAAGAAGTTTGAATTGTGTAAGACCATGGTAAAGGCTTGTGCAATTTGTACCAGGTTTATTGTGCACTTTTGCTATTCCTTGATGACACTTGAATGCTCTATAGAGTGATAGAGGCTCTTCAGCAAATCATATGGAGATATTCCTTAAGGGTTCCCATATAGTTTCCTGCATAGAGGAAGAGGAGTCTTGCAGTGAAGATGTGATGCAGGAAGTTACTGTCAGGTAAATATAATGTAAGGACTTACGAACCTGACTGAATTTAGGCCTCCTATGTGCCTTTTTATTGATGTGTTCAGTATCTCAGTAAATAGGACATCTAAAATAAAACACTCTGAGCTGCTTTCCCTGCCACAGACTCTTTCTGACACTGGGCACATCACCCATTTGTGCTGTCTCAAATCCATTCAAGAAGCCAGAGTTCTGCCCTGCACTTTGAAAATGGGTTCTATCTCTTCTGTTTAGCATTTGCTTAAACAGGAAACTGCAATAATGTTATTAACTAAAGCAGTTTAAAAAATACCTCACCACTGCTTTAGCCAGAATTTACCACAATTATCTCAGGTTGAAGAAAACCATTAGAATCTGCACCCACAACATTTCACTGCCTTCACTGTCTGACATACCAGAGCCCAGCACAGCATGCTTTGGATATCTCTGCCCTCCCACCCAGTATAGCAACACTTAAATTTTCCTTTCCCCCAAGAAGAAATGTGAGATTTTTGCATTAATTTTGCTCTGTGGGTTTTGTTGTAAGAGAAGTCAGGTTGGAGGCAGCCTGTTTACTGCATGAACAGTATACAGAAGCCTCAGGGCCTGACAAAAACCCCCCTTGTTTTCGCATTTTACATCTGATTTCTGTGCTGGAGGGAGGGGGTGGATAAAGCAAAGCTTCCTTGGCATAAAGCCTCTGTCTGCAGAGCTGGTTTGGATGAGGGGCAAAGGCTTCCAAGCTACCCATGTGGGACAGCAACACCTACAGCTGTAACACACAGTCCTCATGAAATGGCACTTACTGTCAAACCTGCCGAGGGCTTCATGGCTGAAGGCTTTGTCCAGCAGGCGGATCTCAGCCAGCGCCTCCTCTTCTTCCAGCAGCAAGCGCACAATCCTCTGGCCAAGGAATCCTCCTGCTCCTGTCACCAGGCAGCTCACCCCAGCCAGGGACATTGCTCTGGCTTGCTCCTGTGAGTGGTGAATTCGCTGTCTCTTGAGCTGGGTTCTCCTCCTGCCTGAGGGAATGAACATATGACATCAGCCTCTGGAGACTTTACAAATCAAAGGGTGTTACCAGAAGGAGAGACTACTGAAAAACAAACTTTAATCCCTACATCAAACCATTTTTTTAAGCGTGTCTTACTTTTGCCAGCTATTCCTATTCAGAAGTAGTCTACATATTTTTTCCATGCAAAGAAAACATTCTTACAAATCATTACAAACCAATTCAATTAACAAATCTGAAAATGCTCAAAATCAACTTCAATGCCAAACAAACCCCACAAAGTCTGCCTCGGGTCTTGGTCCCACCTCTTTAGCGCTCAGAGGACTGTGGGGGAGATTTGCCTGTATTTATATCCTGCAGGGCACCACCTCGGTCATTTTGCTCCCCTCCCTCTTGAGTGCCTCCTGTGCTGCAAAAGAATGTGATGCTTCCACACCACTCCCACCAAAGAGGAAGGCTCTGGATGCAGTGAGGTCTGAGCCTAGATGTGGTCCTGCAGCCCTAAATCCCCAGAAAATAAACCCTCATGTTCATAATTCTCTCTAGCTGCACTGGCTTGTGTAATACAGTGCCAATATTGTGCCAATATTGAAGGTAGAGAAGATTTAAATTAAATGTAAATATCAGGATAAGCTATTTAGAGTGGTTTGAGGAGTGTACTCCTCAAACCTCAGTCTGCTGCTGTATATTTTCTGGATACTGGGCTCCCCCATTATAATGTGAGTTTCTCACTCTCTCTGTGCAAGATCAGAAACTAACCCCGGGGATTTTGTATTTGTTCAGTATACTGCAGGCATTTGAAGTGATGAAATTGTTTAATGTACCATCAAAGTTAAATTCAAGCTGCAGGAGGGAAAGATTCACCCCTGGAAATGTCTTGTGCAAGAGTACCTATTTAAAGTAAGGCTGTTTGTGCCGCAGTGATCTGTGTCATTACTACTTTACATCTCCAATGCACAGGGAAAATGCCCAGGTGTTTCTCCCTGGGGTTTCACTCCAGTTCTAGCAAAACTCTTTTGTGGTGTGAGACCAGGGCAGGGCATTAGCCTGAACCTCCTGATGCCAGCTCTGCCCTCCTGGGTCTGTCAGGACACGCTGGCTGGCTGCAGCTCTATTTTCTCTCTCTCTCACTCACACAGGGATAGGCTGACATCCCTGCTGAAGCAGGATAATAAATAGGGAGCTGCCTTGAGCGATGAGGAAGTCACAAAGAAGTCCAGCAACACAATTAATTAGGCTGAAATCACTGGAAAAGGGATCCCTGATTTGGGGCATAGCTGGAATGGATCTCTAAAAATGCTTTGTTTCCATTCGTGCCACTAAGTGCTAAACTCCTTTTTTTATTCTATCATGTGTTTTGTTCACTCATTAAAGAGAGCCCTGGAGAAAAACTGTAGAGGAAGCATCCCCACACTGTTAGTTTTTTAGAGTAAAACTGAGCTTGCAAGTGACAGGAGGAAAGCAAAACCATTTCTGTTGAAGGAGAAATGTTTCTAGCTGACACAGATGACGAAGCTTTGGCAAGTGTTTCATTCCCAGCGTCCTTGAAAATCTGTTCTGTACCCCAACAAATCTTAAAAAAATTGTTATCAGTGCTTCTTTCCTTGGCTTTTCACAGTCAGGACCTTGACATTGTATATTCTTATCAGAAGCTGCTGCAAATTAATTTTGTGCACTTTGCAAGGAAAAATAACTGGCCAAATCCTGCTGCTCCAAGCGGCATTCTCTGTAACAGGGCTTCCATTTTGCTTTCAAAAAGGAAATAAAATGCTTTAAAGAGGCATTATAAAACCAGCCACACAGCCTCTTAGGATAGAAAACAGTCTTGTACACCAAGCTTGCCTATCAGAATGACCAAGCTTAGCAAGGGTAGTGCTTATATGAGAATATGAGTGCCTCATAGGGGACTGCAGGGAGATTTACTGCTGCTGTGCTTTGTCCTCTTAGGGACAACTCAGACAAATGCTCGGCTCACTTTGAGGGAATTTTATATATCCCTGCATAGCAGCCTTCATCTGAACTGCTGTGTGTGAGTGTCAGTGGTCAGACAGCAGCAATTTGCTCAATTCCAGCTCAGACCTACTGGTGCTTCCTGCAGTCTCACCTGGAGACAGCATTTTCACCTCTTGTTTCTTGCTGACATTGCTGCTGGGGCTGCTGGGTGGTGTGGCAGCTCCTCCTGTGCAGATAGAGCAGCTCTGGCGCTCCCAAAGGGCACGGAGGCAGATGCTGGAGTGGGCTGTACACCCAGAACGGTGCCAAGGAGCAACAGGGCCAAAGTCCACCCGACCACCAGGAGCAATCCAGAGCTGCTGCACAGGCAAGAGTTGCTGCAGACTAAAACATAATTGAGCAGCATTTGAAAAGTTTATCAACTGTGCATTCTGTCAAGGCACAGACATTTTTTAACTATGTTGATGTCTTCCTTCTCTTTGACTTCTTTGTCAAATTAAGCCTAGACAATGTGATACTTTGCTGTAGAATGCTGGAAACATTTCTCTCTTTTCTAGTTACACATTGACAAGAGGGAAAAAAATATTTAAATAATTAACTTCTGGGCAACTGTCCTGTGCTGGTCTCTGAATAAATACAACTTCTCACAGTGGAGAAGACCCTTCAATCACTTCAATCAAGGTATGTGGGAAACCACCTTAAGAGGTCTCAGTGTTTCTGTGTCCTCAAACGTGACAAAGAAAATATCTCATATTTAAGTAATACCAAAATTCTTCCAGTAGGATGGAGAAGGTGATTGCAAACATTTCTGACATTATCTCCAATATCAAAAAGGCCTTCTTGTAGTAGTCTTTGCTATATTAGACAGCACATGATTTCAGTAATTAACTAGAAACAAACATTTACTCTCCTTTTTCCTTTAGTTTTTGGAAGAACATTATTTCCTCAGCTGAAATTGATGAGTGACTCATATATATTTAAGGGCTGGAGAAATTTGCATCATATGCCAAAGAAAAATGTTTATATTTGGATCCATTTTGTAGATAAACTACCCTTGTAAGTAGACTGATTCTCTGTCCCATCCTCCAGGGATGCTGGGAAGCAGCAGGGTTTGATTAGTCCTTAATCTACATGTTTACAGTCTTTGAGGAGAGTTTTTTTGTGAGATGTAACCTTGCTTGAATGTCTATCAGAGATGCAACAAGCAAGTACCTAAAGCAGAACTGGGTGCAGACAGTGGACATGAAACTTTGGTATGCATTGGCTTAGGCCTAATCCAGATGATAGAAAACTTTCAATGTCTTGGAAAAAACTGGGCTTCTAAAAAATAGACTCCCATCCTAATTGAACCCTGAGACTTCTCACTTTAATTTCACTCACCAAATATCTTTGTTTTTCACTCAGAAAATGCTTTCTTGCAGCCCGTCACAGAGCTGCATGTGCTGCCTCTGCAGCTCCATGTAGTCAGACACGGCAGCAGCAGGGTACAGATCTCACGTGCAGCTCTTATTTTATGATTCTGTGATATCCTCCTACAATTCAGATTAAAGACAGTCTCTGTGCCAACCTTTTCTCACAGCAGTGTCAGAGGGGTTTCTCTGGACCTTACCCAGGCAAGCTCTGAATATCTCTAAAAATGGAGGTTTCACAAACCCAGTGTTGCAGCGTCTGACTGCCCTCATGGTAATTTTTTCCTCCACTGATTTCTGCCTGGAATTCTCCTCATTGCAACTTGTGCCCATTGCCTTTCACCCTTTTACTGCACACATCCAAGAAGTTGTCCTGGATCTTCTCCAAATGAGTAGTAAAAGGCAGAGATGTGATCCCCCCTCCCCCTGCCTTCAGCCTTCGTGGGACTGAGCATTCCCAGTTGTCTCATTCTCTTCTTGTACATCCTTGAAATCCATCAATGTGTGCTATGTGGTGCAATTCCCAAGTCTTATCTGCCGGCTGTCAGTCTGCCCACAAGGTTCATTGTCCCTGGAACAGAGGCAGGCCTCCGTGTGAAGGCCTCTGGAAGATCACTGCAGACACTGTTATCTGTGAGAGAAATTAAAGTCTGCACAGAGTGAGCTAACAGGGTTAGCTTCTTCCTCCTGCCTCCTTTGGGCCGATTTAAAGTAGGCTCTTTTGCAAGAGGCCACCTTTAGGTAGCATGGCTCCCCCTGCCCATGCCAGGGAAATGGGTATCAGGATATCTGCCAGCTCCAAAGTGGGGTGAGGCAGGGGGTTTGCACCACTGAGAGCTGGCTCTGCCCCACAAGTGGTGCTCTGCTCCACCCCTTCACTGCTTGGCATTTAGGAGCAGTGGGTGAGAACTGCCCCCGCCCTCAAAGGGTAGCTGGGGAGCCTGGTAGCTGATTCATCCTGTTTCTATGTCTGCTATGAATACACCCAGGAGAAGGCAGATCTGTGGAAGATAGCAGCCACAACACTCGCTGTCCCAGAGCAGGAGAGGTGTGCGGATTGGGCTGCAGTGAGACTTGGCAGGACAAGTGGAAAAAGCAAGGCACAGGATTTTCCATGTCTGGCTGTCCAATGTAGCGGAACTTTGGAGGAAGACCCAACATAGGTAATGCTGTGGAACAGCCAATTTACAGCAAATGTATTTAGGCAAGTAACAATTACACAAACTGCTAAGGAATTCATTGGTCTCAGTAAAAGCAGAGTGCAGCCTTTGCTAACACAGAGCCTTTCCTAATCTCTTCAGAAGTTTCCAGAAGGCCTTATCAGATACTTATTGCATCTCCTTTTTCATCTTCACTCTGGTTGGGACCTTAGCTTCAACTGTCTCTGTTTGGTGAGCATGGCAGGAGGCTGATCACAGCTTTGAGAACTGAACCAGGTGTTGGCCAATCTCTGAGACACTGGCACAGCCTGCAATAAATAAAACATTGGTGAGAGAGAAAGGATGAATGATGTGGATGAAGCTTGGAAGCCCCCCTGCTCTGAATCACAGTCTTGTACAAGCCAGGTTGGGAAAGACTGGTACTTCAATCTCTCCGCTCCTCAGTGGCATCTTCAGCCTCGAGGTTCAGCCCCCCACAAGAAAAGCTGGAAACATAAAAAAACTATTTTTATATCAAGCTGAGCAGTATGCAATCTGATCCAGTCAAGTCAGCAGAAAATCACAGAGAAAAGACAAGGTTGCTGTGTGCCAAATGGCCAGAGGTGAAGATTTGCATTGCCATTTCATTTGGCCAAGTATGGGTTGTACTGGTTGACAGCTGGCTGAACATGAGCCAGTTTTGTGCCCAGGTGTGATTCAGGCATCCTGGCCTGTGCCAGCATTGGTGTGGGCAGCAGGACCAGGCCAGTGATTGTCCCCTGTACTGGGCACTGCTGAGGATGCACCTTGAATCCTCTGTTCAGGTGAGGTCAGAATTGGAAGTGCTGGATTAACAGCTGGACTTGATGATCCTAAAGGTCTTTTCCAACCTAAAAGAT